CACCCAGCTTGGTATCATCTGAAAACTTGATAAGCATACTCTCTGTGCCATCATCTAAATCGTTGATGAAGATATTGTACAGAACTAGTTTCAAAACCCCTGTGGAACCCAACTTGTTATGCCCTTCCAGCATAACCATTAATAACTACTCTCTGAGAACAGTTATCCAGCGAGTTATGCACCCTCCTATAGTAGCTCCATATAGGTTGTATTTCCCTAGTTTATTGATAAGAATGTCTATCAGTTCTTTGTAAGATAGTACTCTGTGTCGTCCTTACCAGATAAAGTCATGGAACTGGTCAAGATAATGGTCCAAAGACACATCAGCCTATTCTGCTTGCAGGAAACCACATAGCTAGGCTATGAGAACTGTAGTGCACAGCTACCGGGGAAGGAGGAATGAGTGGAGGCATGGTGACCAATTATGAACACCACACAATAGGATTGAAGAGGATGCTAAACTGTTTGACATAGGCCTAGGCAATCAAAGTGTATTAGAACCTCCAGTGCTGGGATCTGGGATTATGGAGATTTTAGGCCACTGCTGCTTCCAAATGACCATGGGAGATTTTGGCTGGGCTCCATAGGAAGTACCACCCAGCAAGACTCACAGGACAACCCCTCGCATCCAAATTGATTGCCTGGTACCAGTACTTAACCTAAATATCTGTGAAGATTTGTTATCTGAGCAACTACACAGTGCCTGCCTCTGCTCCAGACCTAGCGTCCAGTAGACACTAAACGAAGGGTGGATAAGATCTGACTTGTGGACCAGATCTGTCCCACCAAGCCTTTTAATCTGACCTGTCTGCTCCTGCAACATGGAGCAGCAGTCCTTTACCCTAAGCTCCCTTCTGCACCTAACTTTGATCAAAGTGCCTTCCTCCCCAATGGAAAAGTCAACTCTGGATGTCTTATCAAAATCTTCCCTCCCACCCACACCCATCAAAAATTATTGTCCAGTCCTGCCTTAGACTCAGGCTTCTGATCCTGGTTTGTCCTTGATTTCACTATTTCATTGCTGTCTGTAATCTGCCACTTAATCCCAGTCTCCTGACAACCTGATACTGCCTGACTCTTGATATGCTCATTGGCTTTGTCTTAGATTCTGACCTCCTGGTACCTGACTCAGTGAGACTCCTGCTCCAACCAGTAGGTCTGACCTTCCATGTCTCCCTTGTGACAGTTTCCTCAGAACACGTTCGCCTCCAATCTCCAAATCTTGCAACCTCTTCACAGATGATGGAAGGGGTGAGGCACTCTCCAACCAGCAGCTCCCCTAGGGCCTGCAAGATCAAATTGTTCACCTGAAGGTGGAGAACCTCCCACTACCAACTCAGGCTACACAGTGAGCACTCGAAGCTCAGACCCCATGCAAACAACCAGCCCCTTCAGAGGCTCAGGTTGTGCAGCTCACTTCCTAAACACAGACCTACCTGATCAGCTCTCATATGCACAGTGTGAAACGATGACGCTTTGTGCCTGGACAGACAGCACATCCCTAGAACTAGAATTAGATATCACCCTTTGGCTACGTCTACACTGCAGGCTTCCACGCAAGAGTTCTTGCACAAAAAGTTCTTGTGCAAGAGCACATCCACACCACCATGTGCTTTTGTGCAAGAGCGTCCATGGCAGTGTGGATGCTCTCTTGCACAAGAAAGCTCTGATGGCCATTTTAGCCATTTTAGCACAAGATGGCCATTTCTTGTGCAAGAAACCCCTGTTGCCTGTCCACACGTGCCTTTTTGCGTAAGAGCTCTTGCACAAAAAGGTTTATTCCTCTTAGAAAGGAATAACTCTTGCACAAAACCCCTGTGTTCTTATGATTTACTGTACTTTTTCTTGTGCAAGAATGCACTTGTAGTGTGACCGCTCTGCAATTTTTTGTGCAAAAATGGTGATTTTTGCACAAAAACTCTGCAGAGTAGATGTAGCCCTAGTAAGGTGTGGTTCTCCATTTCTTTACAATGGACTGTGTGCACATTACATTCTTATACAGCTCCCCTGTTTCCATTTATTGAGCTTCAAAAGCAACTTACTCCACAACTCCTTGAAACAGGACTAGGTTTCTACACACCTTCTGGGGGTGAGGGGAAGTCTCTACCATTTAGTTCTGCTGAAACAGAGCTATTAAGACCCTCCTATCTGAGTCAAAATAGTTCTGCTCCTCCACCCAGATAGGTGATGTTTTTTTCCCCACTTGCAGAAGAAGGCTAGAATTTTTCTCCACAACATCCTAGCACCTGGCCTCCATGTCACACACATGCTGGGAGAGTAGGTAGTTTCTAAGGATGTTTTATGAAAGCATGCATCCTATTTACCTATAATTTTTCCTTCTCCAGCTGCGTTCTTCAATTTATAACCTAGTAGGTCTCCCTTTTTGTCTCCTGCTGATTCTAAAGTGGAATACAGCACCTGCTTAAAAACAGCTAAGAAATTACAAATCATAATTTTTTGATCTCTCTGGTTGTTTGTATCTCAATGGAACAGAAAAAATTCTGATTCCACTAAAAGCACATCTGGCTGCCATCTTTTTCAAATCTGTGCTAATAATGAGACTGAAGGAAGTTTCCAAGGAGTCTTCTTTGGCTTCTAATCCAAAAATTTTAGAAAGGCCTAATGTATTTGGAAAAGTGAGTTACACATAAATGATGTCCTTAAATTTCCATCCATATACAGTAGTCATATAGCTAGACAGGCAATCGATCTTTTCCTTGCAAGTCAGTAAAAAAGCCCAACCCTATAAGTCCTATATACATGGAATTCATATTGATTACAACTGGAGTTTCTACATGTGACATTTTTACAGAATCAGAGCCCAAAAATGAGCTAATATTGTATATAAATTATTTCATTTAGTGATATTGGAGAAGTAGTCTGAGAGAGTATATTTCCATTATAAAAATGCCAATTATTTTTACTTCCTGGCTTCTCACAACCCTCTCAAGAAATTAAAAAATAAATAAAAAAGAGAAACTGGAACCTACGCTATGTCTAGACTGCAGAGCTTTTCCAGGATACTAGAGGTATCCCGGAAAAGCTCTACTGCGTCCAAGGAATGTGTCTGCTTTTTTGGAACAGTTCCCAAAAAAGTGGGCGTGTTCATTCGGCATCCCAGTATTCCTCTTAGAGAGAGGAATAAGGGATGTTCCGAAAGAGGAGATTTTTCCGAAATTTGGCCCTCTGTAGACGGGCCCTCTTTTGGGAAAAAAGCTGAAAAAGATTTGCAAATTGCAACTTGCAATTTGCATATCTTTTTCCACCTTTTCCTGGCAGTGCAGACATAGACTTACTCATCAAATTCAAGTAGTAAAGTTGGCTCCTTCAGTAGTTCTGCTGTGCTTTTGCTAGGTTGAATGGAAAAGTAGAATCTACAATATATATACAGCAAAATTAGAAGCAGGTATTCATCCTCCTGTCATGAATTTCTATTAGTTGTAGCAAGAGTATGCTGCTTGAAACTGTATTTACAGTAGATTAATAGGATCCTTTAAAAATAGGGCCAAAACAATGGACCTTGGAACAAAACAGTGAATGCTTGTGCTAGTGTGGGTTACACTAGCATGAAACATACATTGACTCCTTGTCCTAAAATTAGAAAAAATAAAATTTATGAGGCCTTCAGTGGTGCAGTTCAACAGGCAATCAGAAATGCAAAGGAGTGATTTGCTTCTGAGCACAGATTTATGATCCATAATTAGACACTGGATCCCCCATAATAATAACATTTCCTAATTGTATACTAGGCTGTAATTCAGGGAAGGGTACAATTCAAGGGGACTACAAAAGTCTGCAGAAATGTGAAACTGGATTATAGCTCTTGCCTGTAGAGCAAGCTATCCAGCTACAGAGGACGGCTGGCACATCACCGGGGGAGGAGGAGATGGCTCTGTTACAGGAGGGATACTGGCAGCTGGTTTCTTCTGGCAGCAGGCAGTGATCCACTCCTACTCCCATCCCACATGCCATGGCGATAGAGAACCATTACACTGCCCTGGCAACAAGGTACGATGAATCACCCCCTAAAATGGAGGAGGAGAATCCATGTACCCCCAAGACTGGGAGGTCTGCAGAAGGAAACAAAAGATAGTGGTGGCGAGAGACTCTTTTCAGAGGGAGAGGGAGAGGGAGCCCCTGTCTGTCACTCTGACATGGCATCCCAAGAGATATGCTGCCTACCAGGAACCTGTATCCAAGACATTAAGGAGGGATTGTCAAGGATCATTTGGCTCGCTGATTACTGCCCTATACTACTCATCTGCGTGAGCACTATTTATACTGGGAGGTATGACCCTCAGAAGCTCAGAAGTCACCACAGGGCTCAGAGATGGCAAGTGAAGGAGCTGGGACCTGCCCTAGCACTTCCATGCAGTTGATGTCTCCTTTGTGTTTACTGCAGCCCCACCAGAGGACAGGGCTGGGGGTGGTATTCAGGGTGGTACAGCTACTGCTGGATAAGATGCCAATGCGGGGATGCTCAGTGGCCCCATGTGCTTCTCTACTGTGCTTCCCAAGAGAGCCCTAGGAGGAAAGGAGCAGAACATTGGCAATTTCTCTGGAAGAGCTATACTGTCCCCAGGCCTGTCCTCCAGCAGGGCTGCTGTACAGACCCCAGGCAGACACAGTTGAATGGAAATGTTGGAGCACCCTTTGCTGCTGCAGTTCCGAAATCTCCGCCGCCCCCTTCCCCCAAATCCCCAGGTAATGTGGGATGGATTGTGGGTAGCAAACAGGCCCAGCCTGGGGGTGGGGCAGAGTCATTTGAAGGGCCATGTGGTGAGATATTGTGCCTCCCCTATTCGCTGATGCCCCACCATAGCAGTAAGAAATTAATTCTACTGGCACCATTGCTCACCTGAGATCTCCGTCCAATCTGAGATCATTCCATTAATAGCTATTCTTTGTTTGCAATTATTTAACCTATTATGTGTCTACATAATTGAGAAACGGTAATTCTTTAATGCTTGCATTTCTCCAGTTTACTTAATGTCTTGCAGGATTGTGTCAAAAGCCATGCTGAAATCTAGTTACATTATGCCGACCGCAGTCGCCCATCCACCAAATCAGTCACCCTGCCAAAGAAGGAAATCAAGGTAGTTTGGCATGATTTGTCCTGGGTAAATCCGTGGTGATTCATCTTCTAGAGGGGTAGCTGTGTTAGTCTGTAACTTTAAAAACAATGAGTAGTCCTGTGGCACCTCAGAGACTAACCAAATATATAGAATCGTGAGCTTTTTTAGGTAAAACCCACTTCACCAGATGAATTGGAGTGGAAATAACAGAAACCAAAAGATATAGATAACAGCTGAAGAAGTACCTGTCAATTGCAGCACCTGTGTTAAGGAGCCTAATTAAGTGTGATGGATGTGTCCCATACATAACTTTTGATGTGGAAATGCAGATGTTAAAAGCAGGAGAGGTATTCACAAATGAAATGTTTTACACAGATTACTTTTTCTGATCTCTGGTTTATACAACTGATGAGCTAATGGCATCTGTTGAACCATCCACTATTTTATCAATTCAAGGATATCTAAAACCAAGTCATTATCATAGAACTATCAGTTAAATAAATTCCTATTAAGCTAAAATCATTTATATTTTATTAATTACAGAAAACATCTCCCCCATTATAGGTTTCAAGCAGGTTCTTTCTGACATTTCCCTAAATGCCAAGACTTTAGTATAAAACAAATGTTACATTCCAAGGGGTAGTCCAGAACAGTGAAGGGATGTGTCACCATGACCCTACAAACTGGGGTGCCTCCCATGCTTTGCTGTAATAGCTCCCACTGGGGCCTCTCACAAATAGTCTTTCAACATGCTGTTAACACCCCTAGAGTATGTCTACACTAGCCACCCTAGTTCGAACTAGGGTGGCCAGTGTAGTCATTCGAACTTGCAAATGAAGCCCGGGATTTAAATATCTCAGGCTTCATTTGCATTTTCCCGGGCACTGCCATTTTTAAATGTCCTGTAGTTCAAACTACCTGCCCGCGGCTACACGTGTCACGGGCTAGGTAGTTCGAATTAAAGCTCCTAATTCGAACTACCATTACTCCTCATTGAGTACCACAATTTATGTATCTTTTTCTGCTTTTTTTCTGAAGGAGACTTTTCCAAAATGTGGCCCTTCTACACAGGGCCAAATTTCGGAAAAAACTCTTCTTTCAGAACATCCCTTATTCCTCTCACCGAGAGGAATACAGGGATGCCGAAAGAATACATCCACTTTTTCGGAAACTGTAACCCGGAAAAGCTGTGCATCCTAGACATAGTCTGAATGAGAGGCGAGAGAATTGCATCTCGCTTTATAGTCCAGTCCTGCTTTGAACTTCACTTTTCTGAAGTTTACTCCTAGATAAACTTCATTCCAGCTGTGAGGTTAGAGTTATGGAGTCTAAAGGAGAAAGAGCTGTAGTGCTATGGCTTGCTAAGGTGCAGATCTGTTTCTTCCTGCCGCACCTTCTTTGTCAAAGAATGGCTACTTGACAGGTAAAACTTAAAATACAACAAATAGTCTAGTAGCACCTTAAAGACTAACAAAACGTGTAGATGGTATCATGAGCTTTTGTGGGCACAGTCCACTTCTTCAGATGACAGGAATATTAGAAGTTCAGATCCAAGAATAAATAAGTAAAGGAGAGAGGGGGGGAGGAGAAAAAAAGAAAAAAGAGAGAAAAAAGGAGGGGTGGAAAAAGAGAGACACTGAGTAGATATTTCAAATAGTTACAAGAGGCTGATAAGAACAATTAGCATCTCCATTGTTAGGTTGGTTGGATAAGTCATTAGGATGTGGAAGATAGTGTATGAGCCAGCCGATATCCCGGTTCATGCCATTTTCATAAGAATTAAACTTGTGAATGAAGTTAAGTTCCAGCCATTCTTTGTGTATTTGGCTTGTGGAATTGGCCTGAAACAAAACGGTGATTTAGAGGTCCATTAATGAATGTCCAGGCAGATTAAAGTGGTCTCCAACAGGTTTTTGTATATTGCCTTTTTGGATATCTGATTTCTGTGTGTTAATTCTTTCCCATAGAGACTGCCCATTTTGGCCAATATACATTGCAGTGGGGCATTGCTGACATTTGATGGCATAGATCACATTACTGGATATGCAGTTAAATGAACCCCCCGATGTAGTGTCTGATGTGGTTGGGTTCAGTGATTAAATTGCTGGTATAGATGTGTGGGCAGAATTGGCACCAGGGCTGATTGCAAGGGTGGGTTCCTGGATTTGTTTGAGGTTAGGGGGTTGTCTGTACGTCACCAAGATACTATTGACTGAAAGTTATTAGTGTTTAAATAATACATCAGAACGTATATTTAGTACAAATATGTTTATAGCAGAGTGTAGGGTTTGAATTTAGGGGTGCATTTGATCACAAAATGATAGACAGTCCATCATTTAATAGCATATTAAAGTTCAGCTAAAATTTGGTTTGTTGATAACACACTAGGTTCAGTTAAAGTTCTGCATAAAACAGGGAGGATAATAAAGTATGGGCCTACTAAGACAAAGACATTCATTTCTCCAGAATAAAACCCTCTTTAACATTACACAAAAGCCAACATCTCTGGCTTGTAAAGGAAAGTCTTGGGGATGTTTGGTCAAAAAATAGTGTGAATTTAATATAAAAAGGATAATGAAAGATTAATATTTACTAACAGATGTAGGAAGTGGATTCGTAAAGATGAGTTATGTAGTGACAGGACTTCTGGGCAATTAACAGTTTAAAAATATCCACTGGAATCAAAATGTATGTATTATGCTATTCAGTCCTACAAAGTGAGATTATTCAAAGGTTTAGCATAATAAACATGATTCATATTTTGACAATGCAGTATGTCACTAGTTATTAAGTGTATCTGTCACAGTTCCTGAAGTAACTGAACCTTTCATGGCCTCCTTCAGGGAACCCCACTTATGTTTCAGGCATCTAGCCTTGACCTTTCTAGGGACAGGATTCTTCAATTCTCTCACTATAGAATCATAGAATCATAGAATACTAGGACTGGAAGGGACCTCGAGAGGTCATTGAGTCCAGTCCCCTGCCCTCATGGCAGAACCAAATACTGTCTAGACCATCCCTGATAGACATTTATCTAACCTACTCTTAGATATCTCCAGAGATGGGGATTCCACAACCTCGCTGGGAAATTTATTCCAGTGTTTGACTACCCTGACAGTTAGGAACCTTTTCCTAATGTCCAACCTAAACTTCTCTTGCTGTAGTTTAAGCCCATTGCTTCTTGTTCTATCCTCAGAGGCCAAGATGAACAAGTTTTCTCCCTCCTCCTTATGACACCCTTTTAGATACTTGAAAACAGCTATCATGTCCCCCCCCTTAGTCTCCTCTTTTCTAAACTAAACAAACCCAATTCTTTCAGCCTTCCTTCATAGGTCATATTCTCTAGACCTTTAATCATTCTTGTTGCTCTTCTCTGGACCCTCTCCAATTTCTCCACATCTTTCTTGAAATGTGGTGCCCAGAACTGGACACAGTACTCCAACTGAGGCCTAACCAGCGCAAAGTAGAGAGGAAGAATGACTTCTCGTGTCTTGCTCACAACACACCTCTTAATGAATCCCAGAATCATGTTTGCTTTTTTTGCAACAGCATCACACTGCTGACTCATATTCAGCTTGTGGTCCACTATAACCCCTAGATCCCTTTCTGCCGTACGCCTTCCTAGACAGTCACTTCCCATTCTGTATGTGTGAAACTGATTGTTCCTTGCTAAGTGGAGCACTTTGCATTTGTCTTTATTAAACTTCATCCTGTTTACCTCAGACCATTTCTCCAATGGGGATGGTAGAACAGGGATGTAGGCCACATGCAATTCACTGTGTCTATTTCAGCAGGTCTAACTTTAGTTCAGCAGCTGCAGTCTGGTACTCTCAGGAATAATGGCTGACTTAACTAGTGACCAATCAGCTCACATAAAGCAAAGTACCACTTATTCAGCATAAAAGCATTACAGAGAATAGATAGACCCTGTGAATAGGATTTGTGGTTCTTTAAAACCTATCATGGAAGATGAATGACACCTCTTAAGAGTATATGATCTTACCAGGTGTCACACATCTTCCATGATAGGTTTTAAAGAACCACAAGCCTTATCCACAGGGTCTAATGCTCCATATCAATTTTTGGATCAGGGGAGGGTGATCTCTCTTCAGATATCACAATGGTCAGCATATACCGTTTTGAATTCTTTGTTTACTGGCCTTTGCAATCAAACTAAATTAGTATAAGCCATTTCCCCCAGGTTGTGAGACCACACTTGGTTCATGCCTTAGGATTTGCAGTTATACCCACTTCCCTGCCCCCATGCACCCCACCCCCATGATTTTAGTTCCAGCAGAAAACCCTGTGAACCCATCCCACCCAGCTATGCACACTCACACAGAATTGGGAACACAACCACTAGCCTATAAGAATACATCAAATGGAGAAAAAAATGGTGTTTCAGTACTCCATCAGTCCATAGCATTTGTCAAAGTATCACTGGGGGAAAGAAAGATTAACCCTCTACCCTGGGAAATTCTCAAAAGGCATGTAGATATTAATCTTCATCAATCTGTGACTATAAACATGCATGCAACAAAGTAGTAGTGATAGTACATATTAGCAGTTCAATCACCACTATTTTCTTCAACCTACTCGCATGAACTCATTCCAGAAATTTGTAGACAGGTACATGATGACTTTGTCATACTCTGATTCAGTGTAGAAGATGATCAATTGATGTCCACTTTCTTCAAAGAATGATTGTAATGGTGAAGGGACGGACCTCTGAGAGAAAAGGATGACTGTATATATTTATTCCTACAATGTTACTGTTGGTGGGAAGATAATTTTTTACAGGATTCAGCAACTATTACCAGACAAGGTAAAAAGACTGAAAATGACAAGTGGCATGAGGTTGCCTTTTTCTTCTAGAGTTTGTTTCCTTTAGCTACATGAATGAGAACACTTAAATGAGCAAATGTTCTATTTACAGAAAGATGATTGAAGCTGAAGTTGATGTTATCATCTTCAGAAGGAAAAAAAAAACACCCTTTCAGCTTATGAATGCCTTTTTTTAA